AAAAATAAATTTTTCTATATCAATGGACCACTTTTATGGACATGGATACACTACTTGTACAGTACTTTTTTATCTGTTAGAATTTCCATCAAAATTTACGGACCCCCAGACAACATGCGCAAAAAAAAAAAACTGAAATTGTGTTCACAAACTGAGAATTTCTTTCCACAAATTACTAATTCGTGGCCACATTTGATTAATTTGTTCCCACATTTTAGGTGAATTGTGGCCACTTTGTACTACTCTGTTCCCTAAAATGAGGGAACAAATTAATAAGTGAAGAGAACAAATTAGTAAATCATGGAAACAAAATCCTAATTTATGGATATATTGTTTTTTATTCCTGCATGTCATGTGCAAGGCTCCATAATTTATGATGGATTCTTGTCCATAACATTTTTGTAAGTAAAATAAATAAATAAAACTAAAAATTGGCCACCATAAAAGTGGCCCACGATTGTGAGCAAAACATTTTTCTTAGAATGTTTTTTAAAAGACTCATTTGATATATTTTATTTGTTTATGAATTAGACTGGTTTGATTCTTCTGTTTTCTGACTCAATGATTCAGTCGCTTACAAACTCACTGAAGGGGAAGCTTTTCAGAGAATGACGGCTTAATTTCTGTTTGTTTTTCCCACAAAGCTCTCATAAAACGTCAGAAGTGTTGGAATATAAAGCACAAGTCATATGGACCACTCATGAAACATTTATGATGTTTTTGTGTCTTAAATGTAGGTTTGAAAGCTCCAGTCCCCATTCATTTTCATGGAAAAGAGCGGTCAGGATATTCTTCAAAAATTCACCTTTTTCGTTCCACACAAGAAAGAAGGTCATACATGTTTGGAACGATTTTAAGAACCACAGCATGTGTGTGTACGAGGAAAACACATGCGTTATCATATGTGTATCATATGTGCCACTGTAAATGATTCCTTTAAAATGTATCGGAGTCACAAGAGCTCAAATGCATTTTACTAAATATAACCAGGTAGATTGGTGTATGTGTGGATGACTCTGACACATTGGCTATACCTCAGATGACCCCTGCGATTCGCTCGGCTGCAAAGTGAGAGGCGGACGGGCTAATCTAGCAAAGTAAGGAAGGGTCTGCTTAATAATTAACACAACAAGAGATACATTGCTCTTGTTTAACCACTGTTTATTCTGTGGACCAAATCGCTGAAGTCACAACGTGTTCCCGGTGAGTAATTCCACTGTGCCCTCACCCAGACTGTAAACGCAAGACACTTCTTGTGCAGCAAGATGAGCGCGTTGGAAGACTTTTTGGAAATCTGACGTCATAAGCACATAAGACAGATGGACGAGCGGTCGCCCCTCAGGCCAAAATCGTTTAAAGGCAAATCGCTTCTATTTCGGTCCCAAATAAAACCCCTTTAATAAAATTTGTTATGCTCTGCGAAGGATGCAATAAAGCGCTTCTCCGTCAGGAGGGGAGAAGAGGAAACGCAAGCTGCGATGTGCTGGCCTGCTTTCCAGCCTGCCCGCCAGTGCGTCGGTCCTGAGACACTAGTGAGTTTTATTTTAGGAGGCTTTTAAGTAGGTCAGCTCTCTAGTAGGTCTCGCCTATGACAGCACAGCGGCTGAGTGTAAACAACAGCACATGATGTTGTTTGTCTCTCGCTCTGTCCTTCCCCCCTTCGGCCGGCCCCTGTCCCACGGGTCTCCTGCAATCCTCTTTTCCATTTGCAACCCTAAAAACCTCAAAAAACCAGGCTGTTCACCTCTGACATTCTTACATATGCATTCGAAGACAATCGTGTTGCTTAAAGCCAGAGTCAGAATTAATACTCAAATGCAAGAAAAACTGGCTAGTAAAGATAAAATTAACTCATCAGATGGCTGTATAATGCTATGATGAACTGTAACATGGTTCTGATCCTTGCATAAGTAACTGACATGAGTATTTAACAATTCAAATCCAACCATCTACAAAAAAATTATGTACAATATATCGGTACCTTGTTGGTTGTCAGGCAATATGAGATATTTATTATTAGTATTATTATTATTATTATTTAATTTATCAGTCAATTAGATATTTAATTCTCCTTTATATTACATTTTAGCTGTAATCTAACACTCAAAGTTAATGTTTAAAAACACAAATAATTTAATAGCAATGTTAAATCTTCTAAATACTGTATAATCTAAATACTGTTTATTACAATGTTGTTATGCCTAAATTCACTTGCAGCATTCATACTGATTTTATTGTTTATTTTTTAATTTAAGAAAAATAGTATAGAATTTTATTAGTGGCCACTTATTACTGTTAATAAAATAAAAAAGAAAGAAAAAGAGCAGAATTGACCCTCTATTATATATATATATATATATATATATATATATATATATATATATATATATATACACACACACAGTATATATATATATACACACACACAGTATATATAATTAAAATTAATCATCAGAAGTTTATATAAAATGCCTGGTTTTTATGTTTCTTTGGAAAATAGAAAATAGAAAAAAATGACAGAACAGAACAAAGGGCTCTTGAAACATGTTTTTCAAAGCTACTTTTAAATATGTAATTAATTTGATTAAAAACTTGAATCAGTTTATAGCCCTATATATTTTTTGAAAAAATAAATAATGTGAAAATAGTTTCATTGCAGGTAATAATAATAATAATAATAATAATCTATAATTTATTAAATTTCTCAATTCCCATGCCATAGGCCTAGAAATGAATTTTTTTTCCCAAAAAGGCTGCTTCAAATAAAAACAAGGCCCTAGTTTTTCTTCACTGTCTGAGTTTTCACACAGTAAGGCTATCTTGGCTCCATCGCATATTGTGCAGAAATTTTAAATTCTTGCTTGGTTAAGTCCAGAAAATATATGTAAGTGATGACAACATCTCTCACTTTGCTCTGAGTGAGTGATGGCTGGAGCCCAGCCGTAAAAAGGTTTCTCAACGTGGATGAGGTATGTCCTTCCCTCCTCCCCACTAAATGTGCTGCCAAACTGAAACGGAGAATGGGATGTTTACAAGTTTGGGAGAGAAGGTATAAAATTCTGGGCATCGTTAACACCACCTCTATGTCGACATGCATTAAGTATTTATACAGTGTGTGCCACAGCGAGTTACAGTTACATGCCAACGTTTTAGAGAGGGTTATCGTCTTTCTCACTGCGGAACACAGGCGACAGATATTGCACCCTCATTGTAGTAGCAACATACCCTACTGTAAAAATAATACAAATATATTACAGAGTCCTGATTCAGATCCAAAAGAAATTCAGAGATTTTATGAGCTGGCTGCCATGGAAACATTTAGCACCTCAAATCCACGCAGATGACAAAAGTATGGCACCTTGTTTTAATTAGGACTCAACCTTTATATAGACTCAACATGTGGATCATTAGCCCCATGAAACGCTTTTATACCAAGAGAGCAAATTAATTAGTGCAGTCTGGAATACCTGTGACAGACTGTATCCTCTGACGGCAGTTTCATCAGCCAATAAGTAACAGAAGTACAGGTAGAAAATAATGATTATATAGGACGAAGTATAGAGATTAGAGCACTGTTATTGGACTAAAGTGGCCATGAAAGTGTTTGGACACGCTTGAAATGTCAATGAATTAGATGAAGTATAAAAACAAATGATGTTCCAGTGTGTCTCCAATCTAACTTCACTTTACTTACAGTAATGTGTCTATTTTTTATAATTTCAACTCTAATAAACTTCTTTTTGTGAAATATTTTGATTGAAGTGTGCTTGAGTTATCTACCTGCACAATAAATGAATGCCACTTTTCTTTTTCAGATGTTTTTAATCATGGCTTGAGTGTCCAGGTTCTTTATGGGATAACTGCATTTAGACTCAGGGACATTTGTGGCATTTTTACCACTTTTATTGATATAAATAGTGGAGTGAGGACAGGAAAGATGCAGGAAATGTCACAAGCTGGACTCAAACTAGCATTCATACATCTGTTAAGGCCCAAAAATGAAAATTAATTAATTACGCCCTCCAGTGAGCAGTTAACCTAAGAACTGCTGTGACCTGATCACTTATTCAGTGAGATGAACTCATGAACGAATCAGTTCAATACTTGAATTAATATTTTTAGCCTGATTTGTGAACCGAATCAGCTGGTTCACTGAAATTAGATCAAAAGAATGATTTGTTCGTATTATCCAGCTCTCAAATTCAACTCACTGAATCAAAGAGCCAGTTGCAATGATTCTCAAGTTAACAGCTCACTGGAGGTGAAGATGACTTGTATCTTTCTGGCTGTTCCTCACACAAAGCTATCATGTGGCTTTTGAAGACTTGTGATATAACACATGAAAAACAACAGGTTAAGTAAATAATGACATAATTCTCATTTTAATTAGACTATAGTCTCATGCCTACATGCTCCAATGTGTCCTGACAGAGTACACTCAGGTATGCAGCAGCAAAAACAAGTTTACACTCAATATATCATCCCATGCCATCCCCTATCAGAGCTCACTATTTACCTCACCTAAAATATGATTATTAAAATGTCTGTAGTACCACACCTTGCAGTCATCAGATGTCAGTAAATATGAATATTTGACAGGAGGGTGGCAGCTGAGCGCTGTTGGCGTGTTAATGATCGTGCCAGAGCACCGATGACTCACAGGCTCTGGTAACTCAGTACAGTCGCTCTAACAAATGTACGTGCCATGTTTAGACAAAGTGATGGAGATTGGTGAAACATGGCACTGCTGTTGTGCCAAAGCGGTGTGCCACCCTGCCCTGTAACAGCACATATTATTAGCTGAAATTGTAGAGGGCACCGAAACCTTCCCTGCTGAATTATAGAAGACCATCAGAATGGAGTTTTGATAGGGTCATAAACATGATTGCTACTGGTACATGCATGACGCATCTCCACTTTACTGTTGTTTTTTCCGCTGTGGTTAACTAAGGTGATTTAGCAAAGTGGTTTGCAGTTAGATGAGGCAAGAAGGGTCCTACCTGTGTGAGTCTGCCGATGGGCTTCCAGGGCGTCTTCCTTGGAAAACTGAGCGCCACACTGATCACATACTAGTGCTTTTGGTCCAGCTGGAAGAAAGAAGAGTACAATAAAAGTAAATACCAGTCGGCTGATAGCTTAAATAGGAACAACAATTTTAGTTTTATAGTAAAAGTTAGAAATGATTATTATTAGTAGTAGTGTTTAGTATTATTAGTAGAAGTCATTTTAGTGTGTTTGTATATATCGGGGCCGATCAAGCATTTTTTTTTTCAGCTCTCCTAAGCCTGAGCCTTATTTTATGTCAGCTTTTGTTTTTCTTGATTTTCTGTGTTTATTTTATTTTATTTTATTTTGTTTTGGGGTTTTACCATGTTTAAGTTGTCTGGTTTAATTATGTTTATTGCTATGTCCTGCTTTGTTGTGCTATAGCCTACAGACAAAGTTAATATACTTAAAAGTCCAGTTATGAACGACAAGGCTAAAATATTTGTTGCTGTGTCTCATCTGCTCAGCGTGTTTCTTTTGTATTTGAACTGTGTGACTTGGATGCGGCGTCTTTCAGACTAGGTGCCTATCTTTAGCGAAGCAGCATGGGGAGCAACTTCTGGGATGCTTCTGAAACTTGCCGCGGCGTGGCTGGTATAAACACAAGCATTGACTAGAGTGGCTGCGATCAGCTCCGGTGGATGTGTAGGAGCCGTAATGCGCTGCAGAGGTGTGCAGTGTAAATAAGGGGTCTGTTCTAGCGCGTCACCTGCATGTTTGAGCTTCCGTGTTCAGTGTATTTGATGCACACTTTTGTAACAATAACTCATTAATGTATCGTTTACTTTTATTTGCCATCAGACTATCTGAGACGTCGTTGTCATAAGGCGTTGCTGTGGGTTGCATCTTGATTCGGACTTGACTGACAGACTGGTCGTGAGCTTCATGCTTTCTAACCTTACTTCCACTTTATGTTGCAATTATTCTGCTTATTGTGCATATAAAATACAAGAAGTTTAGATCATAATTGTAACTACACAGTCTGTTTACAATGTCTATCATCGTAACATGTTTACATCTGCCAATATCTGTATACAATGTGTGCATGTATACAATGTGTGCATATATACAGTATAATTGGAGAAAGTGTATCTTGATATATATATATATATATATACATACATCATACATATTACTTTTACTCTCCGCACAAGTCTGTATACAGTACATTGAATTGACTTTAATAACTTTAATCTACTTGAAGTGTGCAACAAACATATATTCCTATAGTAATATATAAATATCGGATTGGGACTCAGTATCGGCAGATACTCAATATTCAATGACTCGGATCAGATGGGAGGCACAAAAATCCTGATCGGGACATCCCTAATATATAATTGATTACATAAATAAAATATAAATATTAGGTGAAAAACAAACAAAAAAAAACCTTTGCAACTAACTGAAATAAGTTGAAGTACTACAGTTACTAAAACTGATGAAAAGCATTATTATTATTATTATTATTATTATTATAGTATTTATTCAGATTTTAAATTAGCCTTTATTTTTTCAGGTTTTAGTAATTTTGTTGTGCATTTGTCATTTTTATTATAATATTTATATTTATTTTTATTTCAGTTTTAGTTTTAGTACTTCAATTTAAACTTATATCAGTTAGTTGCCAAGGTTTAAGTTTCTCATCTAATAATTATATTTTATTTCAGCTTTATTTCAATTACCGAAAAAGATTATGAACAGTTTTAATTTTAATTAACAATAATAACACTGACATTACATGGTTGAAGTGATAATCTGACCTTCACTGATATAGTAACTGTAATTCAAATCAAATATCCTCAAGAAAATGCATGTTATATCTTCATAAATCTAGCATGCCAGAAGTTTCGAAATTATTTCATAACATATGTGGAATATTCCCCCAATTAAGCCATTAACACATTAATATAAGGAACAAAATCATGAATTCGCAAATCTATAATGTAGAATTAAGAACATATTGCATTATAAACCTGTACACTGAACAAATGTCCTTGATAGAAAGCACTATAAGGACATAGTGTTGATCTGTCAAGTATAGCATACTTTTTTAAGCGTATGTTTAGAAAATCAAATTGATACTCATAAATTGAACTGAAAAGAAAACAGAAACGCCAAAGGCTGAATTTTTGTTATTTCAGAGTATGAGTTGTTTTTGACATTAAACATCATTCATTTTCCCCCACACATCAGCAGGGTAAAATACTGTCCCTTGACAGAATCAAAGAGATGTTCTTATCTACAAGAGCTGGCAGCTTTCTCTTGTCTTGTCTTGATAAAAGACCGTAAACCATAAGCTGAGGCAGAACAGACAGCAACATGTCCTAAAGGATATTAAAGCGCTTTGTATCTTCAGACTGATTTATGACATGTACAATGAGTCTCTTCTTACAAACAACACACTATACCCATTTTTTCTGTTCATAGAGATAACAGTAATAAATGATAATCATATAACTGGAAAGGTCATATCAGGTTGACGGACCCTCAGGCAGGTACAGCTCAAGTTATCCTGTAAAAGCAGATTATTTTGATCAACCATAATTCATTTATCAATGCTGAGGTTGTTTCTTCAGGGTGAATCTCACAAAGCCTGTCAAGCTGTTACATTACATTAAAATATACTACTAGTTAAAAGTTTGGGGTCAGTAATATTTGAAGAGTTCCAATGCAAAAGCCTCTAAAAGCCATCTTGGTCAAAAATGAGATAACGATACTGAGTGAATGCTCTCCACACATAGTATATGTTCATCAAGTACTTTCACTTCATATGCACTAAATCCCAGCCTCAACCCATTCAAAAGTACCAGTACTTACATAGAAACCTATACATAGTAGCCAGAAATAAATGCTAATTTTAAAGAAAAACGTCAGACGTACTAAATATTTTTGAAAGAAATCTCTTATGCTCACCAAGGCTGCATTTATCTGATTAAAACAACAGTAAAAACAGTAATATTGTGAAATATTATGGCAATTTAAAATAACTGTTTATTGTATTTTATGTTAATACATTTTAAAATGTAATTTATTCCTGTGAACCATTACTTTTGTCTTCAGTGTGAACTGAAAGTTCAAAAGAGCAGCATTTATTCGAAACAGGAATCTTTTGTAACATTATAAATGCAGTTAAGGCACAAGTTAATTAAAATATAAATATAATAAATACAATATAAATAATATGTAATACATATTTTACTCTTGAATCTGTTTGTACTTATGATTCTCATTAGATTCTAATTACTGTATTACAAAAAATCACCTTGTCTTGACATAATTAATTACTGGGGGCCTTACATCATGCGCTACCATTACGTATAAATACATTGAAATAGTGTATCATTGTTTTTTTTCACATAACTGAGAATGAGAATTTTTCACATTAAGATAATGAGAAGGGGTAGGGGCTGCTTAATTATTCTGAAAATAATGTCACAATGCAAATAAATCTTAATGGTACTAAAAATAGGCTATGCAAATTCACACCATTAAGACATCATTAAACATGAATTACCTGCACAAATGGAAACACATATACAAGGTTTACAAATGCACACACACAAAGAAAGAAAGGAATAATTTAACCCAGTTGCAACCAGCGATTGTTAATAACTGGACTAAATAACTGTTCTGATGGCCATCAACCGCCTGAGGGAATCCATCTATTAATAGTATTAGATCCACCTGTGGAGCTGCTGGCCCATTATGAAGTAGGCCAGGATGTTTCCATCACTTCAGAAACACTCTCAATAAACCACACACACCGAACAAGGAGAAATGGCCGGCTGACGTTGCTTTTTCTGAACAATTCATGAGGGACAAGATCTCAAAAGTGAAGTGAACAACGTCTTCGGTTCACCACACATAGCTTGGACACAACATCTACAACTATGGCTTTTGCTAGCAGGTTTTTACCATTTCCTGCAGACTTCATACCTCTGACTCAGAAAAAAAAAATCGATAAAATCCAAATGTATATTGACCTTCGGCTCATCGAGTATCTATTTTCACTCAGCGGGCCTAAAATGGCTTTATTATGACTCATTAAAGCACCCACAAGCTTCGTGGAGTCAGCCAAAATTAGCCTCTTTCCACATACACTTTTTTCTCATTCCTTCTGGACGACAACCAAAGCCCTTTAAAGTTTAAAAAATGCACTCAATTACAGAATCATTACAAACCACACTCAAAAATACTTTGATGGTGTGACTCATCAGTAGCAGCGTAAATTATGCCTGTGAGAACATTTCTGATGTGCATGAATGAAAATGCACAGTGTTTTCAGTTTATTTTTGTCTTATTAGCAAAAGATAGTAGCTACAGTTCAAGTCTTGCGTTGTGAACCTTGATGGTTGTGTCTCAAAATCTAGTGAGCTACCTACCTAGACAGCATTTCTGTGAATCACGTGTCATTTCAGCATATCTCATTTGTCCTGTTTTGACGCAGCCATGCACGGTGAGACAGGATTCTCTCATACGTCTCCTCGCACACGTTTCCAAAAGCTCGCCACACATTTAGAAACCACAAAGCAGATCCCACATTCAATAGGCTTGTGTTCTGTTTCAGACGGCACATTGTGCACTGTACTGCCCATGAAAAACAGCCCAAACAGCCTCCAGACTGGCTGCAATCACCCTCCATCAAAACACTTTGTATGGCATACAAAAATAAGATTCAATCTCGTGCTGAATACCAAATTAGAGCATTAGAAAACAAGGGCTTCTGCTACTTGGCAACCGTTGGGATGTAAAGCAGCAAAATCCAATGACGGGCCAGAAGATCTAGGGCTTTTATGCGCTATAAAGACTGAATTTGATTTTTATTTTCCCCTTGCCCATTTGCAAATTAAAGACTCAAGTGAACAATCATAAATTGTAAATGTTTGGACATCAACACTGAAATAACATTATTTATCTTGTAATTTGCAAGAGTCTGTTGAATAATAGGTCACAATGAAAAACATCACTAAAAATGGAGGCACAAAGGTCATAATATTAAAGCAGCTCTATAAATAAACCCAGTGGTTTAATGTCCATT